AATTCATACGTAGAGGGAATATGCATGGCATTAATATTAGATATAGAGAGACTTTTTCAATTCCACGCCACAGCACATCTCTGTTCCAGAATACATATATTTACAATGCGATCAAATAATATAATTCTTTAGACCGCAGTTTAAAAGAATCCAATCCATTACCCAAATTCAAGAAAAAAGTGAAAGAAATTCTACTTGATCAGCAGCGAAATCTGGTGTAACACACAAGTGGCCTCAAATTTTCCTTATGCCTTTACTTAGATTATGCTTTATTTTGTCGTTATTGTATACAGATATTAATTTTCAACAAATTATGTTTTTTTGACATCTCGTATTGTTAAGGGGGTTAGATGGTACAATAGATATATTATCTAAATCTCGCCTCCTGTAAGAGTATTACAAATAAAAGACGTTAACTACGTATATTATTATTAATTCCTTTTGATCCCGTGAGTTTCCTTAACATCGCTATGATGGACGCTCATCAGTTTTGATCTGTGTAGATGTGAACTTAGAAGAAAGTATGAAGCAGGAAAACAGGTATTTGCGAGTTCTATGTCTTATGCAAATATTTACTGTCTACCATAACACTGGGTCAACACCTGAGACTTGTAGCTATGGACATATAGTCTTGATAAGTAATACAGCAAGCAAGTTGATTGTTAGGTAAACAGCTTTAAGGGGATTCAATTCCTGCTTTTCAAATACAAGTAATGGCCATAATTTTTTCAGTAAAAGTGACTTGCTTTGCAGTATAGACTGATTAATTTGATCCGTATTTTCGGAGGCGAAAACACTTACATACGGTAATTCAAAGTGTCGATATATTAATGAGAAGATAGGCAATGACGTGCTCCTTGACGTAAGGCTTCGAGTTGGGTACTCATAAGAGTAACGTACAGTACAATGCACACATTTTAATGATTGGCAGTCATTAATTTAGACTTTTTCGGAAACGTGAAGGTTAAAATGTTAAACGGCAAGATTAGACGTGAATAGGTCTGGGAGTTAGGAGGAAATTTTTACTTTGAATTGGAATCAGGCCTAGAAAGCTGCTGCCCCGGCCACTTGATATGGTCCAGAGAAAAGCAGCCTTGCTAATCAAATAGAATAGATCAAATTGTTTCTTCTACGAGCAGTGGTAGCAAGGGACACTTTCTAGTGATATATACTAAGTGACATATAAATCCGAACACCCAGTTTAAATGGTTTTATTTTAATAAAATTTTGCATAAGTACTTAATGAAGCATAATAAGTAAATGATAACAATTTCAAAATGATTGCACTGCTTTAAAGCCCTTTGACCTTTAATAATGTGTGGATGCACCCTGATGTGCTACGCACTCTCCAACGCGCCTAGGCATGCTTCTGATCAGGTGGTCAATGTCCTCCTGTGGTATCTCATTCCCGGAAACCACCAACTCCTCTCGAAGTGCTTCTAGAGTCTGAGGAGGACGTTGCAAATTGAGCAATCTCCTACCCATCATATCCCACACGTGCTCAATTGGGGATAAGTCGGGGGATCTTGGTGGCCATGGTAACAATGTGACATCATTATGTTGAAAGAAGTCTATTGTGACTCTTGCAACATGTGGTCGGGCATTATCTTGTTGGAAAGTTGGATCTGCCAGGGTGTCAAGATAGGGTAAAAGATGGGGTTCTAGAACTTCGTCGATATAACGCTGCGCGTTCATGTTACCTTTGATGAAGATTAAAGGTGACCTGGAACCATAAGCTATAGCACCCCAAACCATAACTCCAACAGTGTGATGAACATGTCTTTCAACAAAAAACTGTGGATTCCTCCTTTCACCACGTCGCCTTCTAACCCTTACACCCACGTAATCGCCTTGAGTGGTGCAGACAACGGTCACTCTGGGATCAGGAATGGAACAGTATTGTCTTTAGTGACGAGTCTCGATTTTGTTTAGGCATGCACGATGGTCGAGCCAGGGTTAAAAGGCGACGTGGTGAAAGGAGGAATCCACAGTTTTTTGTTGAAAGACATGTTCATCACACTGTTGGAGTTATAGTTCGGGGTGCTATAGCTTATGGTTCCAGGTCAGCTTTAATCTTCATCAGAGGTAACATGAACGCGCAGCATTATATCCACGAAGTTCTAGAACCCCGTCTTTTACCCTATCTTGACACCCTGGCAGATCCAACTTTCCAACAAGATAATGCCCGACCACATGTTGCAAGAGTCACAATAGACTTCTTTCAACATAATGATGTCACATTGTTACCATGGCCACCAAGATCCCCCGACTTATCCCCAATTGAGCACGTGTGGGATATGATGGGTAGGAGATTGCTCAATTTGCAACGTCCTCCTCAGACTCTAGAAGCACTTCGAGAGGAGTTGGTGGTTGCCTGGTATGAGATACCACAGGAGGACATTGACCACCTGATCAGAAGCATGCCTAGGCGCGTTGGAGGATGCGTAGCACATCAGGGTGCATCCACACATTATTAAAGGTCAAAGGGTTTTAAAGCAGTGCAATCATTTTGAAATTTTTATCATTTACTTATTATACATCATTAAGTACTTATACAAAATTTTATTAAGATAAAACCATTTAAACTGGGTGTTCGGATTTATATGTCACTTAGTATACAATGAAATTTATTCTTCGAAGTTATCCTCCAGGAGGGAACTTTTTAGGATTGCTAAAAGTGTTTGAATAACAGACTTTGTTCTTTTCTTGAGAAATATGACATAATATCGAACTGTCAATTTGGGTTCCGCAAAAATTGCAATACAGAGCAATCTCTACAAGAACTTACAGGACAAGTGCTTGAAAATTTTCAAGATGGGAATAAGTTTTCCTAGATCTTCAAAAGGCTTTCGATTCAGTATCTCATACAATTTTATTAAAGAAGCTAGAAACTGTTGAAGTGCGAGTTCTGAAATTATTTGAGAACTATTTGGCTGATCGATTACAACAAGTTAAGGTAGGCTCAGATTTAAGCAGCATTCAAACGATCAAAATAGGTGTGCCTCAGGGGACGGTTTTGGGACCAACACTGTTCCTTATATACATAAATGAACTACTTCGTTGCAATTTCAACTGTAAAATGATATCATATGCAGACGATACTGTTTTAGTTTGCACTGGTCATTCATGGGATGACGCAATACGGAATACCGAGTTGTCATTAAATAAAGTCAAATGGTGGTTGGATATCAATTTACTTAAACTTAATATCTCTAAAACTAAGTATGTAACGTTTTCTCCAACCAAAGCAGGCATGCCATTACACCACCGAACATTAATTATAAATGATAGTGCTGACACTGTTGAAGTTATTAGATAATTAGGAATCACTGTTAACATTAATTTAAAATGGCAGAGTCATGCCGAGCTTTTGGCATCGAAATTAAGGAGAATTATTCATAAGTTTTTCATTCTTAGGAATATTTTAAGCAGAAAGAGTCTTCTCTCAATATACAACTCGTTTGTGGGGTCTCTACTAACTTACGGCATAAGTATATGGGGAGCCGCATACACTAGTGCTTTAAAAATACTACAAATCACGCAAAATTATATTGTCAGGACTATTTTTCGTATCTCATGTAGGTCAAGTTGCAGATTTGTTTACATTGAAAATGATCTTTTGAATGTTAGAGGTTTTTGCTGCTCTGAAATTTGTTCACTCCAGTAACAATGTTCCAACCAGCCACGCTTATGAAACAAGTTACACTTATAGCAGAGTGAATAAATCTGTTTCCAAAAATGCATAAAGTTTGATGGTATTGGGTTGTATAATAAATTACCCCTAGAATATAAAATCCTCTCGAAGTATAGTTTAAAAAAAAACGAATTAAGAAGTTCATCTTAAATAACTTTGACATGCTTGCATCGACTGTAGCTTGACTCAACTCAGTCATTTCGTTTCTATCTAATGTTTTTTATTTCTTTTTTTTATATACATTTGCTCATAATATACTTTATGACCATTAGCCATGCATTGAATTTGTACATTGTATGACACACACAAGCTTATAGCTTAGATGTCTATTATTTTGTAGTAAATTCTTTTGTAGTAAATTGTAGTACTCTTGTTTCTCTGCTTAACCTTTACGCAAAATTTTTATTGTTTAAACAACATAGTTTGACCTTACCCGAAATATCCCTATATTATCATATTTCAGATATTCATATTTTATGTACTCTATATTTATATTTCTGAGTGTTTTTAGTATGTTTCTGTACTATTATTATGAATTGTAGATTTGTTTATTCAGACACGTAATTTAGAATTTGTGACGACAAGATTCAGACATTTACCCTTTACGAAAGTTTACAGAATTTTCACAATTCATATACCGTTACTTGCTGGTTCTAGATCTGAAGCTAGTATCTTTGGTCAGATTTCTGTTGCAATCCTGGTTATTCAGGGTAGCAAGAGCTTACAAGCTCATGTATTTTTGAAACTGTTTTTTATTTAAATTGTACTGAAGGTTGTTTTTAATTTGTAAGTTATATTGGTTTTTGAATTTGATTAAACTTTGAACTTCTGCTTCATAGATCAACTCGGTCGAAAACTTGCTCAGAGACCAGTAAATATGAAATGAGAGAGAGATATTTCTTGATTCTAATGGTCTCAACTACTTCTTAACTTGTACCAAGAGGCCACCTTAGACCCCTTGTATAGCAGTTTCAGTACTTCAGTATTCACGTCTTATTTTCGTGATTACTAGAATCAAGAAGGCTTCCTTTGGGTAGCGCCAGTGATGTGGATGCCACTAACTATTTACTAACTAGCAAAAATAAGCTCATCTAAGAAAATCTCTGAACTTACAAAATGAGAGCTAACTGATAATGACCCGTTTTTCATGTCCTCAGCTTTATTTCATCACGTCATTGAAGATTTATCCTAGCAATCGAAAAATGTGAGTTGCATACATTATCCTCAATCGGAATTCATCGACGCCCATGTACAGAAGAAGAAGAAGAACCAAGAAGCTGCAATCTCTCAGTGACAGGAGAGGGAAGTAAATTCGACTGTTTATACACATATATATGGACATAATCATCCTATCCGTCATAGTTCACATAACAACACTAATATCAGAAGATAGGATTACGTAAAGATGAAAGTTACCGTAAGTAGCTTGGCAGTGTTCACCACTTCATTTGTTTCGGTCGTGATTCGCAATTGTTGATGATGTGATTGTGTTTTTGTTTAAGGTGCTTCTGCTGGGATTAGCTGTCTATGTGAGTGGTGTGCCGCAGCAAGGCGGAGAGCCCATCCCGATCCTCAGACAGGACCAGGAGATTGATTTTGATGGATCGTATAAATATAGGTGAGGGGTGAATTGAAACTGGGTGGGTATTACAAGGGCAGTCTGGGATAATTGAAAGTTTGCTATTTGTTAGCCTACCAAGTAGGGTTAAAAATTACTCCAAAATAAACTAAAGCTATAATACTATACAGGGTGTTTCAGTTTATTGTTGCATATCTTTAAGATTCGATAGAACTTTTGAAATTAATGCATAAAGTCTATACAAACATAGTTCGAAAAATGCGTGGCTTCCGCAATACAGGGTGTTTAAATTTACTTTCTAAAATAGTTTTTTTTTTAATTATTTCGAACATTATTTGATGTATAACAGTGAAAATTGGTATACAAGGGTTTTTTGGTACGACAAAACGAACCATGGGCATAGTTTTACTTTAGCCGCTAGAGGGCGCTCTCAACTGTACCTGTAGTGTATTAAATTGACCGAAAAAATTTTCTCAGTGCAATTTTTTGCTTTTTGAATATAAAAACTGATTCTTCGCACTTTTCAACATAAAAAAGCTCTCCTGTGAGTTTTCGTTGTAGTTAGCCGTTTTTGAGATATTTTGATTTTTAGGGTTCGATGCATTTTTAATTATTTATGGGAAAATAATATTTTTTTTACATTTTCGATTTGGGCATTACAAGTAATCAAGACGATCGTTTAGATTGTGTTTTTAAACACAGCAATAATTCCTAACTCCAAATAAACACAAAAAACAGAATATTAATTTGTTTAATTTCCCAATATTATTTTTAACGAATTAAATGAATATTGGATGCTATTGGATAGTTAGGACAAACATACAAAATCTAAAGTAGTTGCTCGAAATGTAAACACAATTGTTCAATACACAATTCACATCTACGAATGATCGAACGTGGTATAGCATTATTCAAATAAGGCCTTATTTCATCACATGCATTCCTGATTCTGTCTATTAGCATATCTCTTGTGGTTACGGGAGTCTGGTACACTTTTTCTTTTAGAAATCCCCACACAAAGAAATCTAATGGATTTAGGTAAGGGGATCGTGGAGGCCAGGCGACTGGTCCTCCACGGCCGATCCATCTTTCTGGATAATTTTCATCCAGCCAGTTTCTAGCTATTCTCGAATAAAAGCTGGACAACCATCAAGCTGGAACCAGGCCAATCTTCTTAAATCTAACATAACATCGTCCCACATATTTGCATGTTCAGCCTTTAAAAATTCAAAGAAGGTCGCAGCATTTAACCTTGTAGGAAAAAGGTAGGGTCCAAATAGTCGATTACGGTAGATACCAATCCACACGTTCACACTAAATTCAAGCTGAAAATTTCTTTCCCGAACTGCATGCGGATTTTTATGCGACCAAATATGTTGATTATGAAAATTTACCACTCCACGTCTAGTGAAGCATGACTCATCGGTCCATAAAACGTCACTTAAAAACTCCCTATTATTATCAGTTCTATCAAGAATCCACTGACAATATGTTATTCTTCGTTCTCCGTCCCCTGGCTGTAGTCCTTGCACAGGTTGCAAATAGTAAGGACGTCTATGGTTATTTCCAAGAACACGGTGAACATGGCCTGCTGAAATTCCTAAGGCACCAGAAACTCTCCTTAAGACTTGTGTTCGGATCTCTATGAAAGTCACGCAGAATCATACGGGTAAATCTGCGCTGACGAACATTTATGTTTTGATCCCTTTGGAGATTTCCAAAACCATTTTCAATTATTTGGCGATGCACTCTTACAAATACTGAGCGCGTTGGATGTCGTCTGTTTGGGAATCTTCGTGCGTATTCTCTGTCTGCTTCTGCTGCGTTTCCATTTACAAAGCCATACACAAAATGAATATCCGCTAACCCTTGATTGGAGAATTAAAATGGCATTTTTATAAAACTTACAAAAAAATACAGGTAAAAGAAATTAAATTTCGTGCATTTACAATTGCAAAAAAACGTTTCAGGTTTCAACAGACAACAAAACTAACTGTCAGCTAATTGACGTTTAACCTTATTCTGCTTTCAATTTCAAAAATCTTTGCAGGCACAGCCTACTTCTAAAAATAATCGAGATACTGACTTTTTAACGTTATTTTATATATAAAAAACTATTTTAGAAAGTAAATTTAAACACCCTGTATTGCGTAAGCCACGCATTTTTCGACCCATGTTTATATAAACTTTATGCATTAATTTTGAATGTTCTATCGAATCTTAAAGTTATGCAACAATAAACTGAAACACCCTGTATAGTATCTTATATATAATAATTCAAGAGTTATAAATGCCCATTTTGAGGTTTTTCAGGCAATAAGTCGCTCATAATTCGATGAAGATCACTGTTATAGAAAAACTACTGACGGTCTTTTCTGTTCAGAATGATGAATCTACGCAAACTTTGTCGACAAACATCATTTTTTGAGATTTGTTTAAAAATTTTTTAATAAATTTGCACCGAGTTATCGCCCGGCAGTTTCGTGATTCATGTTATGATTATGGAGAAGTGGCGTCAAGTAGATTAACTCTATACTTACTGCGCCTTCGTTGGAGGTTTCAGAGAAAAGGAATGAGTCGAATCATTCCAAAAGGCGAAATCGAATCGTAGGTAGGTTCACTCAGGTACGATGATTCTTCGACCTCTGCATATCAAACTATATTAATATATATAATCAAAATCACATTTACCCTAAAGGGTGTAGGGCAACTATATTAATCAAATTTAGTATATTTCTGTTTACATGACAGAGAAATTATGTGTTACTTATTGTGTCTAACAGGTGCAGAGTACTACTGAGATCAGCAGATTTTTAATAATAGAAGGTCACCAAATATGCACACATTTACAACCATTAACCGCATTCAGCTTCAAACCTAGAATTTCCATCTTCTCCGATGTCTGAAAATTGAGCTGGAATCTCTGGAACATTGCAACACTATCATTGAATCAATTTCCATAATCAATGACTATCTAAACGATGGAAGTACTCACAATGATATTAACTTTCTACTGCGCAAACATATCTGCATCACAAAATTCCGTGTTTCTCATTTTTGTCGTTTTGTCAGGCCGTGTCTGTTGTTAAGGCGTCATAAGTATTGAGTTAATCTACTTGACCTAATATTCAGAGAACCATCAAAGACTGAGTAACACATATTAGAGGCTAGGCGAAATAGGTGGTACATTTAGGGACTATAAAATTCACAAAAATATACTAAGTGACATATAAATCCGAACACCCAGTTTAAATGGTTTTATTTTAATAAAATTTTGTATAAGTACTTAATGAAGCATAATAAGTAAATAATTAAAATTTCAAAATTATTGCACTGCTTTAAAGCCCTTTGACCTTTAATAATGTGTAGATGCACCCTGATGTGCTACGCATTCTCCAACGCGCGTAGGCATGCTTCTGATCAGGTGGTCAATGTCCTCCTGTGGTATCTCATTCCAGGCAACCACCAACTCCTCTCGAAGTGCTTCTGGAGTCTGAGGAGGACGTTGCAAATTGAGCAATCTCCTACCCATCATATCCCACACGTGCTCAATTGGGGATAAGTCGGGAGATCTTGGTGGCCATGGTAACAAAGTGACATCATTATGTTGAAAGAAGTCTATTGTGACTCTTGCAACATGTGGTCGGGCATTATCTTGTTGGAAAGTTGGATCTGCCAGGGTGTCAAGATAGGGTAAAAGATGGGGTTCTAGAACTTCGTGGATATAACGCTGCGCGTTCATGTTACCTCTGATGAAGATTAAAGGTTACCTGGAACCATAAGCTATAGCACCCCAAACCATAACTCCAACAGTGTGATGAACATGTCTTTCAACAAAAAACTGTGGATTCCTCCTTCCACCACGTCGCCTTCTAACCCTGGCACGACCATCGTGCATCCCTAAACAAAATCGAGACTCGTCACTAAAGACAATACTGTTCCATTCCTGATCCCAGAGTGACCGTTGTCTGCACCACTCAAGGCGATTACGTCGGTGTTCTCGAGTTAAAGGGAGGACCCAGTGTGGCCGGTATGAAAACAAGCCAAAACTTCTCATTCGTCGGTAAACACTTCGCATGCCAATAGGTCTTCCGTGTTCTGAAAACCCTTCATTTGGACCTGGTAGTGGAGAAACGGTCCCTTAAGGCCAATAATCTTAGGCGGCGATCTTCACGGTCTGTTGTTCTACGGCGGCGTCCAGTGCCCCGTGCTCTTTGCGTACGGCCTTCTCGAAGCCATGCCTGACAACACCTAACCACAGTGTCTACACTTCTTTGCACTCTAACTGCAATTGCTCGAAAAGAAAGTCCAGCTTCCCGAAGTCCCACTATACGGCCGCTATCAAACTCACTAAGTTGACGAAATCGTACAGGTCTCGGTACTCTAGGCATCGTAACCGATCGTAAAGGATGTCAAGAACCAAAATCCGCCAACGTTGATTCTTTACTGCGGCTGAAATATTCATTTTTAGAGCGTTAGTGAATTAAAAAAAAGCAATATAAAAACCGGAATGTCCAACTGATAAGGCTGAAAATTTGTTCACTTGTTATTTATAGTAAGATAAATACATTCACCAAATTTTATTAAAACAAAACCATTTAAACTGGGTGTTCGGATTTATATGTCACTTAGTATATCTAGATATAAAAACAGTTATGTCATCATTTACCAAAGCTTCGCAAAGCGCTAAAGTCGTAAGTACTATTAATATCGGAATATTGCTAAAATTATATATTTCTCCTGTAGCGGTGTGTCAGTGATGACACCACCGCAGATCAGTTGGAGTTTGTTACCCATTGCACAGTCGGCAGTGGCCTCTATGACCATGTACCATTTTTGACTTATCAAGATGTTACATTTACAACTCCCTACCACTATAACCCCCAACCCTCAAGTTTCAACCTCTACAAAAAAAATCGAAAATGAAACGAAAAGAAAAAAGCTTAGGCTATTTCCATTTTGGCCCCCAGCGCTGCCACACGATTTTCAAAAACTTTCATCCTTGGCATAGTAGTAACCTTGTATGAAAATGTTTAACA